CTCTCTCTCTCTCTCTCTCTCTCTCTCTCTCTCTCTCTCTCTCTCTCCTGCCCCTTCCCCTGGGGGGAAAAATATAACTCCTATAAATGAATGATGAGGCATCTTAGAGTCAAGGTATTCTCAAAATTGGATACAGATAAACTAACTCCATCCTTACAAGTCAGCTTTTGTGTAGTTTGAGCTACACATATAATTAGGGTAGCGAATGCTAGAAATTGAAAGAGATGGAGTGCCTACTTAGTTTGGGGTTCTTTCCCCTGTTTTTCTCTGTGCATACTATTGTCTTTGGTGTAACCCAACTCAGAGTTTTTGCTTCTTGACTGTAAGAAGTTTTTCTTCTCTTTCTCACCTAACCTACCCCTTTTCCTAGTAGTCCATGCTGAGCTCTTCCTATGGCTGGTCTATCCCTCATAGACCATAGATCTCCAGTCACCCAGCTCTTACTTATCTTGCAAAATTCTTCTTCCATTTCTGTTCCTTTATTCCTATATGCCTGACCTCTTTCTGATATTTTTAGCTCACCAGGACAAAAATTTTAGTAATCCATGGATCAATCCCAAATGTAGTTGTACTAGGTTGAATTTTACGTGTTTAAAAGTACTATTTTGAATTTACTCCCTCTATTACACCCAAAAGACAGTTTGTTTTCCGCAGCTACAGAGTTTTGTGTCTACACACCTCTATTCAGCCCTTCTCACCCTCCCAGTTCTCAGGAACATTATAGAAGGCAGGCCTGTGACCTCAGAGACCATTTACTGCAATCTGCTTGTCCAAGCATGTCAGAAATTAGGAAGAGGCAGATCCACAAGGTCCTCAACTAGAAGTCAGACAGCTGACCCATTATTGCCAATGAGCTTATATTGATAGTGTCCAGAAGAGAAAGCAGGCCAGAAGTGCTGACCCTACCAGAACAGAAAATAACACAGATGTGACTTGGAGTACAATCTTCCTTCTTTAGAAGAGGTTTCCTTGAATATCCCACTACCAAAAAGCTGGTCCTCTTTGTAAAGTGCAAAAAGTTTCACAAATGCATGAGGTTACTAATATAAAGGGCTCTCTCAATGTTGTTGCAAAAGAGTCCATAAATCCCTAGGCAATTACTCTTTCGCTCATTAAATTCCATCTGATTCCTTTATCTTATGCCTAATTTCTACCATGGTGATTTGCAGCCTGCAACTTCTAGAACCCAAGGGTGGTATCTTTCCTGGATAGCATCAGTCTTGTCTCCAGCATCATTACCCCATGTTACTATTCCCTTTTATCTCTTCCAATAAAATCACCTGTAGTAGTTTCTGTTGGAAGATGATGTTATCTCGAGGATTTGTTCGGTTGCCAACACGGAACTTGAGGGGGCGGTAGACACAACATGTGGTGAAGCATATCATATAGAGAATGTACAAGGCACCCAGGATACAGAAGTATGGCTGCCCATATTTCTTCCACTTGAAGCTCACCAGCTCCTTCACTGGGGTCTGTTCCAAGATCTGGCGAGCCTGCCATGGAAGGAAAGTAGCTTGGGGTGACCAACATTTTGAGGTTATTGAGTTCCCACTGGGTCCCAGAAGTGAAGGACAGTAACCATCATTATCATCATTCATTTAGTTAGTCATTTCCTTGAGGGATAACTAGTTCATTTCTACTATATGCTAGGTTTGTGCTAATACTATAGGTATACTATTAAGAAGCAAAAACAAGGCACCATAGCACCACTGTAGCTTTAACAGCTGAAGAGTAGTTTACTGAATGAAGGAGAGTTAGGAAGGATCATTCCATCAAGTGGCAGCAGGCACCAGGGCAGGAGGGGGTGAGAAGGCATTATCCATTTGCAGGTGAGGTGTGGTTGGGAATATGGGAGAACCTGTTGGGATTGGTGGACAAAAGATATAATGCGCAAGGTAAATATAAGCCATATCATTGTGTATTGTGTGTGAAGTCTGAATACAATGGAAAGCAAGTGGAAAGTCTAAGCAAGGATATAGTCCAGTTTGCTCTGGAAGTACTGTTAGACTCAAGAAAAGCAGTACAGCAGGCTGTAGAATGTGCCAGAAATCTAAGTGTGATGGGACTGTGCTCTAGAGAGGGTGAAGAACGGGATGAAGCATGTCAGAAATTAGGAAGAGGCAGATCCAAGGCAAAGCTGAAGGGATTAACCATTAGCAGAATTTTTTTTTTTTTTTTTAATACCACTGAAGCTGGAGGGAAAGAGAGAGACAGAGTGCTTGGCAGTTCAGAGCAGAAAGTTTAAGGATCCCCACCCAGAGTGGCTAAGGTTTGTCACAGGTAGGAGTCTTGTTCTTTGCTGGAACTAAGGGTGAAGGTAGCAAGAATATGAAAAGGGAATAGCTGGGAGGCGTTAGGGAAGGGGAAGGTATCAGACCCACAGGAGACTGTTGAGAACCAGCTGATATCAAAAACTAAACAAGCATGGTGGCCAAGTCCACACAGAGGGACTGGACATCTAATTCCTAAGAAAACCTGCTCAAAGCTTATCCATCTCCAGGCTGATTCCTTGAGGAGGGTCACAAAAACTGACCACTCAGCCTTCCTCCCATCATTCATGTTTCCATCATCCACCACAACTGTCCATGTTTTGTGACTCTACAAAGGCTCCTAGGAAATTGTCATGTAGCAGATAAACAACGGAAACTATAGCTTGCCAATATCTTGGAGGTTCCCGAATGCCAGCAGCATTTTCTTCTTCCTTGTATAGACTTCCACAAATTTTCCTTTGCTTCATGTTATTCAATCTTGGACTGTCTCAATGATCTATGCTTTGTCCCCTCTCTTTTGACTTATCTTCCTGATGACTCCCAACTCCCCGTCGAAGACCTAGGAGGAGCACTTCCTCTGTGACACCTTCTTTGGCCATCCAGACCAAGTTGACTACACCTCCACGTTGCTGCCCCGGTACATAGCACACGCCCTTATAATGGTACATCTTGTGCTCTATTGCAGTTATTGAGGATAGGGATCAGAATTGAGGAATTTGGCTGACAGGAAACGTGTTTTCTCTCTTTCTGTATTCTCAGTTCCTGGGTAGTGTCTGGAACCCAGAAGGTGCTCATTGTGCTGAAGGAAAAAAGGAAGAAAGGAAGGGAGGGAGGGAAGGAAGAGCTTCCTTCTGGAGAATTCCTCATCTGAATTGGCAGAATGGAACAGGTAAGATGAAGGAACTAGAGCCAAGCAGAGGGAAAACAACCTCAGGAGATTAGTGTTGGCTGGTCTTTCCCCCAGGTCCCAGGAAACTGTTCTCATCTTGGCCTGTTGTAAGTTCCCTGGATCCTAAATCCCAGAAAATGGGCAGGTACTGTGTGGACACAGTGCTCTCTGACCTTTCTTGAGCTCCATACCTCCCGCTTCTTGGAGGAGACCACAAGTTCTAGAAAGGACAGCTCCTCTCCCCAGGAGTCAATCTCTGTGAGGTCGTAGAGAGTGGATGTCAGGGGTCCATATGTCCACTGGATGTGCTTCCGCCTCTGCATCAGGTGCTGGAACATCTGAAAGATACAGGGATGAACAGGAGAGTCAATGTGTGAGAAGTTGGTCTGAGACAAAACGCCTGTGGAGCAGGCCAGTTGCTCACTCTCCACAGATAGTGCAGAGTTGGCCATCTTCTGTTTACATGTATCTCCTTCCTTCCCTCCTTCCTTTCCTCCCTCCCTTCCTTCCTCCCCCCTCCCTCCTTCCCCCCCCCACCCCTTTCTTTCTTTCCCATAAAGCTCTATAAGAGGAAATGAGATGAAGGGAGTAGGATTTGAGAATACTATGGAAAATATTTTAAGATGAAAGTCTCAAATGCCACTAAGAGGGAACCTGAGGTTGAACATTGTGGTGATGAGGTAGAAAGTAAGGGACTACCTCCTTTGGGAGGAGCTTGGAGAGAAGGGTCATAAGAGAGGCACCTTAGGGCTGGGGAGCCTCTCACCACAGTGTTGCCCTCTACTCCAGCCAGCTTGAAGGGGGTGAGGCCCTGGTGATTGGGCACGAGCTCCAGGGGCTGCAGGTGGTCCCCTCCATCATAGGACAGCAGCAGGTTGTACATGTGGCAGGCAAAGGTTTTGTTGGGCTGCAGGATGAGGATGTGCAGCACTGTGTTTCCTGGGGAGGACACGGGCTGGCATGTGGACCCAGGCCTTGGTGGTCCCATTCCCCACCCCTGGTCCTCCCTCACACCCCCAGGCACATCCCAACACCCCCTCCCATCTCAGCTCTTACCCAGGGAGTCCTGGGCCCGAATGTCAGCTCCGTGCTCAATGAGCAGCCGCACAATCTCCTCGCTGCCCACGCAGGCAGCAAAGGACAAAGGGTGCTCCCCTGGGGACATAGAGAGATCCATGGCAGGAGACCACAGGGTCACGAGCTAAGGGGGCAGTTTCTCCCAGGTGACTGCCTGCTTGCTCCTCCCACATCTCAGCTCAGGGCATGGGGCACTTGTCCAGCAGAACCAGAGGAAGGACACTGAAGAGGGTCCTGGGAATTGGCCTCTGGCCTTAAGTCCTGTAAGGGCTGCCCTTCTGCTTCCCCACAGATGGAGCTGAGGGCAAGGCCCTGCTTAGCCCAGCTCTTGGCCTCGACCTGGCTGTCCACCTGCCCTTCCTCCCAGCCTGGCCCTGCCCTCACCATAGTAGATGAGGTTGTGGGGACTGCGTTGGAAGGCGGTGCCTGTGGCTCTGGCAGAGACGCTGGCCCCGTGGGCAAGCAGGGCGCGCACCAGGTTCACGTTCTGGTTCATGACAGCGATGTGCAGGGCAGTCTGACCTGGCCCAGAGAGAACCATCAGTCACAAGTCCATCTCCCTCAGGTCTCTCAGGGACACAACACCCAGCCGAATCCCCAGCAAGAGTCTCTGCCAGTTCCTCATGTAGACTACAACCATGGCTGCACAGCGTGGCCAGAAACTGCACAGAGTGGCTAGTTACTCCCTCAGGCTGCCCAACTCATTGTCCCTACCCCTCCACTACTGGAGGCAGGTGAGGAGGACTTGATGTAAATAAAACCACTGTGGCTGCTATGAAAGGGGCAGAGAGAGATGTCGTCAGGGATCCTGACAGGATCGAGATGCAAAACGGCTAAAGGAATCCATGGATACTCAAAGCAAAGGCTGGGATTTAGGTATTTCTCCCAATTCATGGGTGTCATGCTTCTCGGCCCTCCAGTACTTCCCCAAAGCCACCCTTCAGAAGCCCATTTCAAGAGGTAACAGCCAACCATCCCATGCCTGTCTCTACCTGGAATTACCACGCAGCCTCCTCACCTAAAAAAGGCTCACACACGGTGGGCTCCTGGACCAGGTCTGGGGCGGCCTCCATCAGCACCATGGCGGCCTCCAGGTTGTCATAGAGGGCCGCTACGTGCAGTGCCGTCTCCCCCAGGGCTCCTGGAGTGGAATGAGACAAGAACATCAAATTCCAGCCAGGAGCCCTCCAGGAAGGAGCTCCTGGCTCCAGGGATACCTCCAAAGACCCCACATGCTCAGCAGGGAGAGGGGCCTTCTGCCTACCTCTATCCCATTAAAGTCTGATCTCACCTCTTTGTCGAAAGTCACAATTTTGTTCCAACAGAAGTTTCTTAAGTGTACACAGGTCATTTTCCTTGGCTGCCTGAAGCAGTGGAGACTCCCATATCCTGGAGGAGGATGAACTGGCGTCAGGTAGAAACCATCACAGAGATGCCAGGAGCAGGGGGAACCAGAGACATCCTCTGTCTAAGATGCACACATCTCCACTTTGCCACCCTTGCATCATCTGCAAGGACTGAAGGAACTAAGGGGACATTAAGGCAAAGTGTGGTCTAAGGGTTTCCCTGGTTCTGGTGCCATCCCTGTCATGAAGATTCCTTGTATACAGGTTTGTGGCTCAGCTGGGGAGGGAGGCTAATAGAAGGGTGCAGTTCCTGAAGGAGGAAGCCTGAGGTCTGGCTATGACATCCCTGCAAAGAGTTCCTGGGACCCTGCTGACTCATCAAAATTGCATAGATGTTTCAGGAAATCAGCAGGTGGAGGGAAGGTGCGTTTCTGTGGGGTTCCCCAGGATTTCATGCTTACTGAACCTGCTCTCTGTAGCCAGGGGAGTTTAGAAGCCAAAACAGTGAAGGAGGACAAGGAGGACAAGAAGGTTAGGGCTTAGGAACTCTGTGGAAATCCTGAGCTTCTAAAGGTCTGATTACTCCTTTGGGCTGTTTAGATACAACGTCTACTGTGGATGGAGAATTTGGGGTAGGTTATGGGCCAGGTATTCCTCCTGGACTCAAAGCAAGTTGCTCATGACTGAGGAGGAATGAGCACCGGGCCTCTCAGCTCAGAAGCCAGGATGAGACAGTCATCTACACGCCCTCCAAGAGTTCATTGTTGTTTCTGCCCTTGTCTGCTTCTAAAGCCAACAAGAGATAAAGCTGGAGCCTGGCCTGCTAGACAACGTAGCCTTGGCTCCAAAGGCAAACACCGAGTTAGGCAGGATGAGGGTCATCGGGCAGAGCAGAGGAGCTGTTGACCTCATGGCCCCGACCCACGGATTCCTTTCTTCCCATGGCTCCGGGAGCCAGGGGGAAGAAGTTTTCTGGTTAAAGAAGGAGTTCTCTATCCCAGGGAATACCACTGGGAGAGACTTGCAGAGTGAAGGGTCAGCACCTGCCTCTTTCACCCAGGCCCTCAGTCCCAGTGAACTGTGTATCTCTGACCTGTCCAGAGTGGCCAGGGCTAGATTCCAGAGTTCACTCCCTGTCCTAAGGCCACTGTACAAAGCTCTTGTCCCTCCTGACCCTTGGCCCGCTGCTACTCTGCAGAGGGGAGGTCCTGTGACCAGGTCCCTGGGAGACCACTTCTGTCCCACTCTGATGCAGGGGGAGGGGGGATCAAAGGTTCCAGCGTAGGGCGTTGTGGGGGACTGGGGCTGAGTAAGCAGAAGGCCCTGTCAATAGGAGGGTTCAATGTGAAATGCAAATTCAGGACTTCCTCTTCAAAATGATGAACAGTCTCAAGACAGAGACAGCAGGACACTGAACCAAAAACAAGACTCTCCTGATACACAGAGCAGCTTGCTTCAGAGATGGCTGCTTGCTCCACCCTCAGCTCCTGAGTGGGAAGGCCCCACTCCCTCCCCCGCAGGCTGGCCTGCAGGATGCATCCCTGCCCCCACCCAGGCTGCTTTTCCTGACTCTGGACCTCAGGGAAAAACGATAGGATGGTCCGCACTAGATAGACCAGCCCTTTCCCGAACAAAAGGTCCCAGGAACGGCACAAGCCCCATTCATTCTCCATGTAGTGGGCACCTGGTGCACCCCCAACACAGTACACACAATAAAATGCAGAATTGAAGGCAGGATTCTGCAATGTCACCCTGCTTGTCCTCTTCAGCTGGTCACATCCAAGTGTCACACAAAACTAATCTCTCCTCCCCCTTTTCCAGACAACCGACTTTAATTCCAGCTGTAACTTCTTGTTCTGTCTTCCACCAAGTTTTCTCAACAAAAGACCGGTAATATCTGATCCCATCCCCAGCAACCTGCTCCCAACAACCTGATATTGTCTGTCCTCCCCATCCTATATGCTTGGTTTCTTCAGTCCAGTCGCATTTAGTCCTCCTTCCAGGAGGCAGGCAGGTTCCTGCCTGGGCTGTCATTCTGCCCCTGCCTTTATATTGACAAAGTCTCCTTAGGTGGCCCAATGCTACATTCTGCACTACTACCAAGAGGGTCCCACTGGGGTGCTTTAGTGGGTGGGCTGGAGGGAAGAATATATCCAGGAGGCTAATGCTGAATTCTAGGGTGCAATATCAGGAAAACAGTCCTGTGGGTCAGAGGGTTTGAGAATTGGTGCATTTCACACCAACTCCTTAGAAGCCTACCTCTTCTGCTGCAGCATGTAGACCTGGTCCAGGTGCTGGTCCCAGTCTTGCTCTCCAACCAGCCAGGAGGCCAGAAATTTCTGGAGTTGAATCCAAGGCCCTTTTGCTCCCATGTCTTCTTGCAGGCACTGGCAGTGTGTGAGACTCTGGTGAGAGGAACAAGCTAGGATGGCAGCAGCAACTCAGGAGGCAGGGTCTGCTTAGGACCCTGAGTGAGTGTATTCTCTGTGTGACTTGTGTGTGCAGGTGTGGTTGTGGTGTGTGTGTGTGTGTGTATGTGTGTGTGTGCACGTGCACTGAGGGACTAGCCAACCTGCCTAGGGAGAGGAGGCTTTCCCTGGAAGGGGCGGAGCTCTTTCCAGAGCTGAGCCTGGGGGCACAGAGCTGCCCTGGAGCAGGGATAGGGGAAGGGGAGGGAACTTCTTGGGTCCTGGCAGTCAGCTGGGTCAGCTGAGACCTGGAGAGGCTGAGGAATGGGGCAGACAAGTTTGGAGAGGGAGCAAGGGCAGTGCCTGGAAGGTGGGTCCCATGAACAAGGTGTGCAGGCTGTGGGTTGCAAGATGTGGGAACTAAAGGCTTCCAGCTCAGGAATCTGGCAGATCCCAGTTTAAGTCCTGCCTCTTACCCCTTAGGGTCAGGTGAGCATTCTTCACCACGATCTTCTGAATTTTTAAAGTAGGGGAAGCAATTATACTGTAACAAGAAAGTGTATGTAAGGTACCATGTGTCACAAGACCTCACCAGCTTATTTTCCCCCAAAGAACCCAGGGATGGCTTCTCCTCAAAAGCCTGTGGCTCTTGTCTGGACCCTCCTCAAAGGAGGGTGTCTGACTCTCCCCTTTCTCCTCCTCCCCTGCCATTTTCCTGAGCCCAGCCTGAGCATGACTCTCAGGTACAAATCCCAGGAAACCCCCAGAGGTCTATGCTCCAAGGGGAGTTGAACAGCAAGAGCCTAGTAAAGTGTAAGACAGGGAAATTTTAAGACTCATTCCAGGAACAAGGCTGTAGGAGGAATGGACACGGATAAGTCAAGGTTATATTACTTTATTGTGTGACAGCTTGTGCTTAATGTTCTGATTGTTCTCAAAAAGGCATATCAATGCCATTGAGTTGTAGTCATTCTGTGAGGTCAAGGGGAATAGGGCACAAGTTCTCTGTTTTCTGAATGAAGGACAGAGCACAGAGGAGAAGTGAGGTTCCCCCAAACCCCAGGGCTGGAGGCAAGACTGGACCTGGCTCTGAATTGGGGATTTTGGCTCCCAGTGAGTTCCTCTCCAGATCTTGTTGCTTCTTGGGAGTCTTTTGTCCGTAAAGATGTGAGAGACTTGGGTGGGGTATGTTGGGACCCTCCTCTTGGGGATCCTCTGGAACCAAGAACTGCCTTCCTCGTTTGCTGTGCTCAGAGTAAGGGATGGATAAAATAACCTCTAGAGAAGGACAAGAATTGAAAGGAAAATAAAGCAAGAAAGGAAGAGGAGGTGTCCCAGACGGGGAGGTGTTCTCACCCAGGGAGTGGGGAGGGGTCACCTTGTGGGACATTTTTCTGCCTTCCCGAGGGTTGGGGCAGTGTGGGTGGTAATGATCACTGAAGCCTGGGGACTTCCAGTCTAAGGAGATGGAGGGAGCGATAAGGTTGAAGTGGGGGTTGTAGATGCGCTGATAAGCAGGGGGGCAGGCCAGGAAGGGAGCACTTGCCAAGGAAACACTCAACCCATAAAGCTAATCCTGCAGGGGGTGGGGGTAGGGAGGAGCTGGCAGTGGAGGAGGCTGGCCCGGTCAGAGCTGCACGGAGCAGGTACCGGGGCTACCACTAAGGGCATCAGCTGTAAGTCTGGGAAGGAGGAACGAGGGCCCCATGTTCAAGTCCCCACTCCTGGGTCTTCAGTGTCTCCCCTGTCCCTTGCTGCTGCCTACACTGTTGTCTTTAATGGGAAGAGCATAAACAAGTACTCTGGATGGAGACCATACTGTCTCCCTGTCCCAGCTGGTAGAGGGGAGATTTGACTCTCTTTTGATCTCCTCTTGTCTCCCGCCACTCCTCATCTTGGCAATAGTCTGCATTGCCATTCTGTCTTCCTCTGTCCTGCCCCAGCTTTCTGTGGACAAGCACACCCCCAATTCAGATAGCGGCTTCCCCAGCCAGGACACCTCAGAGTCTAATGCCACCAGGTGCCTGGGAGAGGAGCTGGGCTGGGGCGCTTCGCCCCATCAACACATCCCAGAGTGCTCTTACAGAAAAGCAGCAGGGCTTCGTAGACTGACATGCTGAGAAGGAGGAGAAAACATACCTGGGTTTCAAGTTTTAGGAAATGCCCTGTCACCCCAGCTGCCCACAGGCAAGCAGGAAACAGATCTGAGTATTACTACATTTTAAAAACATTCAGAGTGAATATCATTCAATGATGGAATGATTAGCCTTTGTGTGTGTGTGTGTGTGTGTACTTTTTTATATTTAAAAAAAAAAAAAAAAAACTTTTTTAATGGATTGTTGGCTTCCTGCAAGGATTTATTTACCTCTTGACACCAGGAGTCAGGCAGGTGGAAGTAATGGTGGTAGGTAAAAACTGGTTCTTTCCACTCCAGCTTGCCCCTCCCGCAGCTCCCTTCCCCATTCATATCTACAGAGCTGGAGATGGCTTCTCTTTGTGCCAGGGAATCAACAGCCTCCTCCCCCAAAATAGCCAGGAGGAAATTAGTGATTTTATTTTTTCCGTTCAAGCATTAGTTTTGTGGCTCTGCAGTTCAATGGGTACAAGGAAGGGGTGAGGAGGGTCACTCTCAATCTGACTCTTTCCTCCTTCATCATCAAGTGCCTTTCCAGACCGCTCTCTGGTTCACTGTCATCTGGTTTGGGTCACCAGGAATTATGTCAGAGGTGGTATCTGCTGCACATGGAGCAGCCTCCACCTGAACACATCTGCTAGCCCGGGCAAATCTTGTCACACTTCCCATGTCTGCAGGTCGCTCTTGAACAAGGGGCACATGTTTTTGCATGTGTCCTTGCATCAGTGTGTGCACACTTCATTTGGGCATGGTCTGCATGGGCAGCGCTAGTGGCTGTGATAGCTCCTCCCCCGTCCCGGGCACGCAGCCTGCCTCTCATGGTTTGGCATCAGCTTCTGGTTTTCCACGAAAGGCCTTCATCCTGTCTTTCCAACCCAGAACCATCCAGGGGGCCAACATGTCTGTGCTCACCAGGTTCATGGGCAGGATGAAAGTGAGCTGCAGAGACACCTGCCCCACTTCATTTCCTCTGCAGAGTAACTCCTTCCGTCAAGTGAAGGGCTTGGAGATGAGCCTGGAAACACTTTTTCTCTGTGTCTTAAAGAAAAGTGTAAAAGAAGAGAAGAGACTCCTAGGCGCCATGGTGCACACCTACAATTCCAGCTACATGAGAGGCTGAGGCAGGAGGATCACAAGTCTGAGGTCAGCCTGGGCACCTTAGTGAGACCTTCGGTGGTTGGTTGGTTGGTTTATTTTTATTTTTGGCTCACAGTTTCAGAGTTTCAGTCCTGGGTCAGCTGGCTCCAAGGCAGAAATGTCATGGCAGTGGCATCCCCCAGACAGCTGCTCAGTTCATGGCAGATGGGAAGAAGAGAGGGTGGTGGGGTCAGGGACAAAAAATTGTCCCCAAGAGCACACCTCCAGTGGTCTGCTTCCTCCAACTGGGTCCCACTTCCTACAATTTCTATCCCCTTCCAATAGTCTATTCAAAATATTAATCCACCAGATGGATTATTAATTCACTGGTGAGGTTAGAGCCTTCAGATCCAATCATTTTTTGAAAGCCCTATCTCTGAACCCTATTGCACTGGGGACCAAGCCTTCAACACATGAGCTTTTGGGAGCCATTCCAGATCCACACCACAACACCCTATCTGAAAAGGTGGAGTGCTGGGGATGTAGCTCAGTGGTGAACCACTTGCCTAGCAAGGTAAGACTCTGGGTTCAATCATACTTGGTACAGAGAGAGAGAGAGACAGAGAGAGAGAAAGAGAGAAGGTTTTTAGCTTCAAGTGGTACAAGAGGACAAAGTCTAGGAAAGGAAAAAAAAATAGAGGAGAAGGAAGAGGAGATAATGGCTTCTACTCAGACACAGGAGACTGTTCTGTTTCTGTATCTGTGCATTCTCTGTCTCTGTGTCTGTCTGTTGCTCATGCACAGGTTTAGAGCATGAGAATTTTTCCCCTCTCCATCTGCCCCACTCTATTTCACTTTGAACAGACTAGGCTTTCATGCACAGCATGAAGCATGTTCCCAGGATTTTTTTTGCTATGTCTTTGTTGCTATGTCTGGTCTGGGCCTTATCTATTCAAGACACTCTATTTAAAGAAATGCTACATGGACAGCGGAGAGATGTCATGTTCACCTTCAAAAGCTGGAATTGAGAGTCCTGCTCTGCCCATTCATTGGTAACTCTGTGATCTCGAGAAGGAGCTCATTTCTTCTGTGAACCTTGGTTTCCTCATCTATATAATGGGTGTGAGAATACTAGTACTTTGGAGTGCCAGTGCCTGTGTGGAACCAATAACATAGTGGATTTGAAAGTACTTTATAAGCTGGGCACAGTGGCTCACGCCTGTAATCCTAGCATCTCAGGAGCCTGAAGCAGGAGGATTGCAAGTTCAAAACCAGATTCAGCAATTTAGTAAGGCCCTAAGTAACTTAGCAAGACCCTGTCTCCAAATAAAATAAGTAAATAAATACAAAGAACTGGGGATGTGTCTCAGTGGTTGAGCACCCATGGGTACAAAATAAAAAAGAAAGTACTTTGCAAGCTCTTAAGTCCTTTTTATTGCCATCTCTACAGGATGACCCACTACAGCCATTATAAAAGCCTCTGCCATCCCCGGCTGGCTACCCCCCTCCTCCTGCCTGGCAATGGAATGCACTAGTGAGCTGGAATGAGCATGGGATCCATGGCTGTGATGTCACAGAGCACATGAAGTCAGAGGTCCTATGGAAGAGAAGAGAGGAAATCGATGCAGGGAAAGGGTAAGGACTGGGACAGGGACGGGGAGGCAGGTGGGGGAAGCCTGCTGGGCACTAGGGAGCTGGTGGGCCAGAAGCTATGGGTGGGCAGGCCCATGACATCTCTGGGCTCCCAGCTCTGCTGGGTAGCATTCCTGACAGCCCTCCTACTGCTGCTGCGGGTGAAGGGGATGAAGTTTCAGAAGGGCAGCCCAGACATGGATGAGGGGAAGCAGAAAGAGAAAATGGCTTCTGCAGGTAGGTGGAGAAGAGAGAGACAAAGTCTGGAGGTAAGGGTTGGGTCTGATTGAGGCCAGGCCTCAGGTAGCTGTTTAGATGAGGGTGAATCTGAGATGGGTTTGGATTCTGGGAGATAGCTCCGTTTCCCTATCATGGTAGAATGTCCTGTCTGGAGCAAGGAGGGTTCCCAGCCAGGGCCCACCTGGGCCAGCTGCAATTGCATGCAGCTTCTGCATGGGTGAGTATGAGTGTCCTGGAGGAGAACCTTGGTTTTCCTCATATTGAAAGATGTCCTTCATTCCCTCAGAATGGTACCACTTTAGAGGAGACAGCTAGCATTAGAGGTGGGGTTTGGGTGTGTGGGATTTGGGGCTGTGGTTGAACCCAGATCAGAAAGGACATCTAGATGGGGAGCACCTCTCTCGTCAAGGCCAAAGAGGTGGCGATTGTGCCAAATCCCCTTGGTCCCCACTTTTCTCTCAGCCAGGTCAAGGTGGGGGCAGGTCAGGATCAGGGCCGCCCATCCCTACCCCTCTTCCCTGTTCCAGACCAGAACCAAGAGCAGTTTGAAGAACACTTTCTGGCTTCCTCGGTGGGTGAACTGTGGCAGGTGATGGACATGGCCCAGCAAGAGGAGAACATGACATCGAAGGCAGCAGCTGTCCAAGACCACCTTTTTGATCTAGCCTTCTGCTTTAACATGGCCATCATCATGGTTTTTTTATAAGAGACATTGAGGCTGAGGTGGTGGCCTGGTTCCTGAATGAAAACCTGAACGTCTGCCTGCGCTTCATAATTGCTCACTGACCTCTTCCCCCCAGTGGGCTTCAGGTCACTACTCCCAAAAAGGACTCAAACACCACTCCCCACCTCTTATCATTGGTACCTAGACTCGGTGCAGCAACAGAGACTGCAGTTGCCATCGCCACTGCCTGATTGCCACCCCACACCCAGAGTTTCATCTCCCACCGCCAGAGACATCACACCAGACCTACACCCTTCTGTCTCTTACACCTCTCCTAGCTTTGTCCAAAACAGAAGATTAGAGGGAGGAGGCAGTGACAATAAAATAGCAATAAAATCCTGAAAACAATTGGGAGCAGCTTTCTGAGCCCTCACCAAGCCCTTGGGGCTCTGAATGGTCTGTGGAATTGCCAGCCCTTTGGCCCACTGACTGACTGACCTTCAGACCCACCATCTCGCCAGCTCTTTCCTTTTCTACCTACCGTCCTTGGCATGGTTCCCTCTTATCTTTTCTGATTTCTAGGAATAGAACATAGCAGGAAAGAGTCCTTAGGAGACAGGTGGGGACCAAGTGCCACCTTTTATTTGGAGAATAGAAGGAAAAAGAGATGGTGCCCCACTGCCTGGATAGGCCAGGGGCTGCTGATCCACCTGCATTGTTGTGTCTGTGGGTCCATGTTACCAGAGCTGGCAGCGACTGGAGGGATTCATGAGGGCATCACGCGGACAACGAAAATGTCTGGCAAAGGCTGGGGTGTTGCTGAGAGGTCCATGGACTCGAAGTCTGGGAGGGCTGTGAGTGACCTGGGAGTGCTCAGTGCTGGGTTCCCTACACAGGACCTGAGGAAGGGTAAGGAGCAGAGAAGTCTTTACTTTTTCTTTCTAGTACTAGGAACTGAACCCAGGGGTGCTATGCCGCGTAGCTACATCCCCAACCCTTTCCATTGTGTTAATTTTGAGACAGAATCTTGCTAAATTTCTGAAGTTGGTCTCAAAAATTGCAGTCCTCCTGCCTCAGCCTCTCATGTCACTAGTATTACGATGTGCCTGACCAGATCAAGTTCTTATAGGTTTATTAGAACAAGGCTGGGATTAAGGGTCACCAGGAGTAGCAGACAAAGAATGGAGCAGGATTCAAATGCTCAAGGGCCATGTAGAGTTCATGTCATTTGTAAGTCATTTAATCTGGCACTAGGAGAGTAGAGGAGGGCCCAAGCTAAGCAATGACACCATTTGTGAGGACCCCGGAGGCCAAATCTAATAATGAAACAGCTCTGCGAGGGAGCTGGGGACTGTGCCTCTTGGGGAAGCACAGGTGATAAAAGGGGTCATGTCAAACTGGGACCACTCCTGGGGGTGAAGTCTCTGAGGAGGAATGTTAAATATAGTCAGCTTCTGGTAGGGTCATTTTAAGGGGTCTGTATTTCTAGCATATGAGATAAGAAAATGTTGGACTTAACTCATGGAGGGACCTAGAAGTAGAATTTTTTTCTTCTTTTTGAGGAGGGGGGAGGGTTGCTGATTTGGTTGAAGAATTTTTTAGTAATCTGGAGGGTGATGGTAAGGGGACAAGTGAGAAAGGATGACAGCAGGGACATCCATGGCAGTGAGTCAGGGGTATTTGAAGAGGGTGTGTCATAGAGAAAATGCCTTTGAGTATTAGTAATAGGGTGCTTATCAGATCTGAAGCAAGCTGAGGAAGAAAGGGCAGCTGCTTACCTGGGCATAGCTTCTGAAGAAGAGCTGGTGGGGGCTGAGGTCCCAGTTGGGCAGCTTGGTCTCCCCACGGTACTCTAGGAGGCTCCTGCTGTATGCCTGGATTGGGGGGATAGGAGGAAGAGTTGGCTTTATGCTTGAGACCATCTGGAAGCTCGATGCCATTCAAGCAGTACCTCAAACAGACTCATGGGCCTTTGTTCCCTGTTCTGAACTAACATATTGGTCTGAGCCAAAAGAAAGAATATTTTCCGGAAGACTGATAGATTTCTTAGAAAGTGGGAGGGGGGAATCTACAGGGAATGAGGTGTGTCCCCAAGTTGCCAACTGATATGTGGAGATACAAAGGGCAGAAAATCATGTAAATATATTTGCATGAGAGAAGGTGGAAGGAAAACTTGAGGACAGTGCCTTTAGTCTGCTGGTGAAAACAGATCATGGCCGTTGACCTACCTGGAACGCAATGGCCAGTGCCCCCACATCTGCGGCATTCTCTAGGAGCGTGCTGGAGCCACTGAAGGAGGTTCCACTGGGCAATGGGAAGGCAGCGTAATGGCGCTCCAAACATAGGAGTGCCTCCTGCAGGGCCCGGGTGTCACAGTCCAGGCAGTCCCCAGGGAGCACTGTTGAAAACAGAGCAAGAAAATGAAATGGCAAGGGACGTGGGTTGTGCCACAGAATGTTCTGGCTCCCGGAAACATTGCAAGTTTCTAGGACTGTCCCTCCTGGAGCCCTTGTATAATCCTCCTTTCCCCTGTAGGACTGCTTTGAGGTCTTCCCTTGGGTTCCCTGTGATCCCACATCCCAATGGCCCCTGTTACCCACACAGCTGGTAGAAGATATGCAACAGCTCGCGAGCCATGATGCTGCCAGCAGCGCCAAAGTTCACGGCTCTAGGGATACAAGAGCTTGTCTTACCTCCAGAATCCTTCAACATTTTTTACCCCAGTTCTCCAGCCATGGATCTCATCCATCATAACAACTGTTAATCTCTCCTGGGAAACTCCCTGGCCACGCTCCCAGAATGGCCCTTACCTAGGGTAGTCAGGGTGGAAGAATGGAGGTTGCAGGAGTCCTGCTGGGAAGACCACCTCATGGTCAGGTATTGAATAGGAAGCAGTGACCCCCCAGGGGGACACCTGCCATCTGTGGGGAAAGCACATATGAACACAGCTCCATCATTAACTGCCCCAAGACACCTACAGTTCCTCCAACTAATATCACTGTTCCCATGGCCTCCTCCAAGTCTCCAGATTCCTTTCCTACTAATTACAGAGGGGGTATCTCAGCGATGGTGCGTCCCTATCTCCTCTGACCCCATACCTGTGGTAAGGGAGAGGCTGCAAGAAGCTCCAGACCTTTCTAGCTTGGAGAGATCGGACACAGCTCAGAAAAGACTGCAGGAAGTTGGGTCCAAGTTGTATCTGGAGAGGAGGCAAGAGGTGACTTGGGCACACAGAGACAAACACTGACGGACATCTATGTATGCCAAGGAGCGCATTAAACCCAAACACACATAATACCCTCATACACAAACATCCATGAGTTAGTGGAGACCACTACTGCTGTGGGTGCAGACACGCTCCACGTGCATCAGCACACAGACATACACAGGAAGTCACAGAAGACATAGGTGTGTGCACACAAGCATCACAGCCTGAATAGTTTCTGTTTTTCTGCTGGCAAGACCCAGCCAGCACCAGGGCAAGGAAGTGGGTGGGTAAGAATTGCTCAGGGAAAATGGATGATGTGGATAAGACTTGGCTAGGTTAGGGAGGAGAGCTGCAAAAGGCAGACCCACATTGCTGTATTCTTGTCCGGCCAGCTCCGGCTTCAGGGCCCATTCAGGGGCTCCCATCTGCACCTGCAACTGAGTGATCTGGGGAGAGACATGAAAGGCGGTAAGGACCTCACATTCCCTGAGTGTCTCGGAGCCTTTAATACTGTCCCCAGGCGTGTGTGCAGCACAGTGGCATCTGTACTTCCCACCTGCTTGTGTGCCTTTGGCTCTCTCCCCCTCCACTGCCGTTTGACCTACCCCTAAGCATTCCCACACTGGCCTGCACTCCTGGCCTTACCCTGTTCTGGGCCTCTCTTCGGGTCTTTTGACTTATCCAGGGGAGTCTTTTGAGGTGTGCGACAAGGGCATCTTTGATCTCAGTGAATAACTCCATGGCCTGTGGGGGTGAGGGTGGGGGACAAGGTAACAGAACCAAGATCAGCCTCAGCTCTGGCTCTGCCACAGCACTGACCTTCAGGGGGCCTTGGCCCTGGAGGGTGCCTGCGCTGGAGGAGCTATCAGAGAAGGAAGAAGAGCTCAGAAAGATGAGGGGAAGGCCTTTTCCCAGATACTGTAAAGGCAGGGCTAAAAAGGCAGTGCCAAGCACAGAGAGGAAAGTGGGAGCTGGCCACCACTGGTCAACCAGGAAGAGGGAGATCTGAGCTGGGAAAGGCCCTTACAGTTGGAGCCAAGGGAGAAGAGGGCTGCCATCTCCCCCTCTGCTCTCGGGGATCTTGTCCTCCCACCCTCCCTCTCAATGCATGCACTTCCTCTCTTCATCTTTCTGAGCTCTTCAGCTTCCTAACAAGTGGGCCTCTCCCCATCTTCAGGGCCTGAAAGTGTAGTTCCTGTTTTTCAGCCATCCAGCATCTTGCATGCATCCTCTCTTAGGGGAAGAAAATGAGTGACAATATTTGGAAGCCTGGGCTCTGGCATCAGACTGCCTGAGTTCAGTCCTGACTGTGCTATTTGGTAGCTGTGTGACCTTGATCAAGTCATCTAACCTTTCCATGCCTCAGTTCTTGGACCTATAAAATTAGGATGATACCCAGACTTAAATAAAGTCGCAGGTGAAATACTTGCAAGAGTCCCAGCATGTGACAGACAGTCACCAAGTGTTCTGTAGTTATTTATTTGTACTCCTCAAGGTTACGTCACCTCATGCTCATGTCATGTCCTGTGTTGCTCTAAAGTCTTAGATAAACAGGGAGGAGCCTTAAAGGTCAGGGAGTTCGATTTTCTCATTTTATGGTTGAAGAAACACAAGACTAAGGAAGCCGGGTGACGTGTCCAAATTAGTGCATGTTATGCCTACTCGTGTTCCATAGCTGAACTGTGCTCACCCAGGGGGTGGAGGGGCCTCTGGGATCCCCCTGTCCCCCGCACATACTACTGAGAAGCACGCAGTCCATAGGACGGGGCAGGGGGCGCGGCAGGGGACTGCTCTCACATACAGCACTTTGGATGCCTGGGCCAAATGCCTCACGAACAAACAAGGCCGCCAGGGTGGGCTCGAAGAAAGTGCCTGCTTCCTCCACACAT